GCCTGAAGCTGAGATCCTTAGCATATATGATTTCTTCTTAAGGAGGAAGCCACCATGTCTCCTAGACCTAATATATATACACTGATGTACATAACATTCTATAAGTCAGACTCAATAATAGAGGCATATTTGGGGCAGAGGAGATCTGAATCAGGATACAAAAACTATGTCACCAGAGAGAAGAGGAAAACATCACAATCTTATTTCAGAGGGAAATTCCATGGACATTTTGGCATTGTGAACAAAGCCAAGGAAGAGTGTTGACTATAATAAAACTTGTTTTAAGAAAGTTGTCCATTCAGATCCATCTTTTCTCCACTCATCAATTCATCATTCATCCATTCACTGATTCAACAGACTCTTACCAAGGGTTGATGAACTGCGGGGTCCTGTGCCATACCAGAGGGACACTACATTAAGGAAGATGCAGTTTCTTCATTCAATGGGCCCCTAGTTTGAGCTGGGGGACAGTTTATGAACAATTACAAGGCAGCATGAAATGTGCCACAGGAGTGATGTGATGTCTGAACAACCAAGAAATAGAGTTAATTGGTCACTGAACAGAGGGAGCAGAGAAATTTAGAACCATTAGATAAGTTGGTATTGGCCAGCGAGAGCCACACAGGCAAGCTTTCAGGGGCCATAGAGAACATGGTGGTCCTTCAAGTGACCAACAGAGCTGGTGGTCAAAGGCAGGAAAAAGAGAAATGAAAAAGTCAGAAGGGGGAAAAAATAAGAAAAGAGAAAAGCTAGGTAATGATATAAGAAGGGAATCAGGATTTGAAAATAATCAATTGTGGAAGAAAAAAATGAGTATTCCCAGAGAGCCTAATCACTCTCATTTTATTAGAATCAGAATCTAAATTTTCATGTTGCAGGTGACTAACTGAATTTCCAGAATCTAAATTTTCATGTTGCAGGTGATTAACTGTATTTCCTAGATAAGCAAGATCACTAACTCTTCTTTAATATAATTTAGTACATCTTGAGTTTTATTTATTTTACTTTTTTATTAAATTTACTGGGATGACATTTTTGGGTAGAAACTTTCAAAATGGTGATGCATACTAATGTGGGAAGAGGTAGAGAATTTGAGAAAAAGAAGGCTTGTAATTCACTAGGCACAGCTACAAAGAAATAAGGGTCCTTGTAAGTTTTTCTTCTCTCTCTCTCTCTCTCTCTCTCTCTCTCTCTCTCTCTCTTTCATACACACACACAGAGAGAGAGAGAGAGAGAGAGAGAGAGAGGTTCCCCTTGGACTCTGCCAGCGAAATCTAGAATGTAGGACAGGAGTCTGGGAGGAAAATACAGTGCCAGGCCTAACTGATCTAAATAATCAATGCCTTCTAATCTCACAGAATGTCCTTCCCAGCTCCTCAAGAAATGTCCAGGGTGGAGGCAGGAACCTCTCATTATCCTCCACCCTGACTCCAAATGGGACAGAGAGGAAGCCAGGCCCCACTGCATCATGGAAGAATGAATGGCTGTGTGGCTCAGAATACCCTTAACAGACGAGCAGATGAGCTTAGTTATATCTCAGTGATGTCACTGGATTCCTCCGTGGGTTCTGCAGGTGAATCTTGAGACAAACTACTCACGATATGCTACACACACACACACACACAAAATGCATTCCTTCCCTGGCTGGGTGGCTCAATTAATTGGAGCATCCTCCTGTGCATCAAAACGTTGTGGGTTCGATCCCCAGTCATGTCACCTATGGGAGGCGGACAACCAATCAATGTTTCTCTCTCTCTCTCTCTCTCTCTCTCTCTCTCTCCCTCCCTTCTCT